GCATCCACCCACCCACCCATTTAACAACCCATCCATCCCTCCCTGTGCATGCATCCACCCACCCGCCCATTTAACAACCCATCCATCCCTCCCTATCCGTCCATCATCCACTCATCCAGCCTGGGCCACACACCCGTTAATGGTCACATCCAACTATCCATCCACCCGTCTGTCTCCAACGTTCACAGAGCACATACCGCACCAAATTATGAGGATATCAAGATAAGCCACAGTCCTTGTCCTCAGGGGATTTATGCACGAGTGAAGGAGACAGACCAATGAACTGCCAGTTACAAAGTGCCCACAGTTGCTGTATGTCCATGAGTTAGGAGCCCAGTGCAGAGCCTGTATTAGTTTATGGCTGTGTTAGTCACATTCCTCAGAGTACTCCCACTTCCGATGTAAGAGGGTATAAAACCTGCTGGTGACCCAGCGATCGGTGAGGGCAGCCCCTTGTTCATTCAGGTGGCAGCAGCTGGTGAGAGCCGCCACGTGCCGGCTGGTTCCCGGTGGCCGCAGCAGTGGGGAAGAGGGCCGCGTCTCTGTCCTTGTGCTGCTTATCTCCCAGGGCAGGCAGACGCCGGACAAAGGGAGGTGCGGGGATGCAGAGAGAGGAAGGGCCGGGTGGGGTTGCCACACGGGCATTTTTGACGTTGATTTTTAAATCTCTCAGGATACTACTCAGAAATATTAGGCTCGTAGGCCTTAGTTACCAGCATAGCAAAAGCAAACTCCTTGCCCCCAGGTTTTCTGCCCCATCTGTACATTCCCAGGAAGGTGCCAGAGGCTTGGCAGCTCCTCTGCAGCCCAGGGCAGTGCAAGGCTGGACGGGGGGTCCACAGGGGCAGGTGTGGTGATGGCCACAACAGTGAGAGTGGAAGCCCTGGGCCTGGCTGCAGAGTGGGGAGAGGGCGGGTGGACACGGGGCTCTGCCCAACACAGGAGCTCAGAAGAGAGCAGAGTGGGGTCTCGGTCTCTGCCGGGTCATCAACCACGACATCCCTGCTTCCCACAGGGGCTCCCGCCATCAGCTCAAGTGGCTGCACAGGGGAGGGGCACCCGGACGTCTCAAGAGCCACTGCCCAGGGTGTGAGCTCACACAAAGTCCTGAGCTCCAAGGCTTCGCATGCTGGTTGTGAGTGGGCCCCTGGGGGGATCAGCAACTAACAGAGCCAGAGCGTGTGTGGTGGGAGGCCAGGCCGGGCCCTTTGCCTCCCTTGCCCTAGCTGGCCCCAGCAGGACGTGAGCAGAGTCAGAGACAGGACGGTGAGGGCTTCTCCAGAAGAAAAGTATCTCGACACAATAAAGTGCATACATGACAAACCCACAGCTAATATCATCCTGAATGGGGAAAAGCTTAAAGCTCTTCCTTTAAGAACTGGAACAAGACAAGGATGCCCTCGCTCTCCACTCTTATTCAACGCAGTACTGGAAGTCCTAGTGAAGAGAAAGAAATAAAGGGCATCCAAGTCTGGAAAGAGGAATCCAAATTGTCCCTGTTTGCAGACAACATGATCATATACAAGGGTACAAGTTGTGGGAAAATAGACTTAAAAAGTAACACAAATCTTTCCATGATCTTTTAATTAATT